ACCAGTTTTTGTTGTTGTTATGCGCCTTCAAGTTGACTCACAATGACCATATCACAGAGGTTTCTTGGCAAGATTTATTGCTTTGCCATTGCTTCCTCTAAGGCTGAGTATGACTTACTCAAGGTCACTCAGTGGCTTTCCATGGATAACTGGGGATTCAGATCCTAGGGCCCATTCACACTACATAATTATAGAGCTATTTTTGTTGTTGTTGTGTGCATCCAGGTTGTTTCTGACTAATGGCAACCCTAAGGTGAACCTATCATGAGGTTTTCTTGGCAGGTTTCATTAGAGGGGGCTTGCCATTGCCATCCGCTGAAGCTGAGAGACTGTGACTTGCCCAAGGTCATGCAGTGAGTTTATATGGCAGAGATAGGATTTGAACTCTGGTCTCCAGAGTCACTGTCTAGTACTCAAACCACTGCACCACATATTCCACTTTGACTATATTGGTTCCATCCCACTGAATCCTGGAGTTTCAAGTTTGGTGAGGCACTGGAGCTCCTTGGCTGAGAATTCTAAATGTTCCTCCCTAAACTGCTAATCTAGGAGTTCATGGGATAAAATCACAGAAGTAGAATAATAGTGCTATATTTCTATAGTGTGAATGGACCCCTGGTCTCCCAAATCCTAGGCCAACACTAAACCATGTAGGCTATTAGGGGATCAGTACCTAAAAGTAAAAAATAGTCAAAGTGTCATCTGTTCTCAGGCAAATCATGATTTTAAAAAATTCCTCAGCTTCACCATCATCAGCTAACATCTGGACAACAAACTTTTTTTCCCTTGACAAAGTATACATGCATACTTCATGAAACAGATTTCTCCAGTCTGATAAATGCATTCTTTTTAATTGCGCCTGTCATGTTCTGCTATATTGAATGCAAACATCTACCTTGGCCCTTTGTTATTATGTGTCTTCAAGTTAAGTTTGATTTATGGCAAGCCAATGCTAGGGTTTTCTTGGCAAGATTTATTCAAAGATGTTGTCATTGCAAAAGACCAAGGTCACCTAGTGATTTCTGTGGCTGAGCAGGAATTTGAACTCTGGTCTTCTGGAGTCCTGAGCCAGCACTCAAATCACTGTATCACACTGGTTCTCCACTGCTACCCTACTCTTACAGCAACCAGTGAGTTATAACTGGTGGGGGAACTTAAAAGCCTTTCTCTGGTAGAGCAAAACACCCATATCCATGAGGGATACATTTCTGCACTTACTATGGAAACACGAACCTATAGATAATAGGGAACCCTATCAAAATGAATGACTTCCAGAGATATTAACCATACAGTCATAAAGGAAGACCTAGAAATTCCTAGAGAGAACACCTCTCTAGGAATACCTAGGTCCTCCAGCACAACTTTATGGTAAACTTTTGCCAGAAGCATACCACAGAATCGAGCTAGAGGATGTAGAAAATGTCTAGAGAGAATATATCATTTCGGACATGGACAAGTGAAACAGAGGGTGCTGGTCCTGAACAGAGATGTGAAGGCCCAGGGGGAAAACGGGGGGGGGGGGGGGGGGGACAGAAAACAAATTGGAAAAAATGAAAAAAAGAAGAAAATCAATTATGCAATGTTTTGTTTTAGCATGATTCAGGGTGTGTGTGTGTGTGTGTGTGTTCCACATAACATGTTAAGAATGAGGGACACAAATCAGCTGTCATTAGGAGGCAGCTACCAACCATGTGCATTGCAGCAGCATTATGTCACATGGAAGAAGATGTCAGGCCCTTGGGCCAAATCTGTAAACAGTCCTCAGACTATCTAGGGACTTGATGGTCCTTGAGGTCTCTTCTAACTCTATAATTCTATGATAGCCTTTGTAACTCAAGCTCAGAGAAGCCACCAGCCCTATTCATCTGGTTTTCCCTTTTTACAGGCCATCAGTGGTCTTTTACTGATATCTTGGTCCCCCTCTTCCCACACCTACAACTAGCTCTCATGCACCCTGGAGACCAAGGAAGGCAGCACCTCTGATGAGTCTTACTATACCACACAACACAGCAGCACACAAGGAGCTCAAAAGAATTGCAGAATTTAATTTTGTTCCAGTCAATTATTCAGGTAGACTAAAAATATATGTATTTCCAGAGACTGTAACCAAAAAGGAAAAAGAAAATACAACACAATTCTCTTCTAAATGTCCTAAATGTCGCTTGTCTCTTTGATCTGCCATTTACATCATCAAAATTCAGAAGATTAAGAATTATAATTGCCAAAATGATTATCTTTGACAGCTTCTTGAAATGTACAATGGAAATCACATCAGTGCTGTCAGTGGTGGGGGGAAAAGCAAAAAAGAAGAAAAGTCAAACATATATTTCTGACCACTATTTGCTGAGACCAACTAATTGGACGGGACAGGAGAAGGACGGAGGGGTGGCTTGTATCAGTGGGAAACTGTATGTTTCCTTTCCTGCACACCTCAGTTTTAGTTCAGTTCATTTTAATAATATCCAGCAATCACAATCATTTTTAAGCAATCATTATTATACCTTCCTGCACCACTCCCCCAACCTTGCAGATGGGACTAAGAAATGTTGGCATTAGAATTCTTTCAAGACAATTTACTTTCTTACAATTAACCATACCAAATAAATGAGTGTTTATCTGGTATATTCAAGTCATATAGGGGATCAATAGCTCAAACTGTCATTGTGTCCCATATTGCATGCCATTGCTCTTATTCTACTAGTACATATTTTAAAATGGGAAGAAAACAGAGGAGATTAAATGTGTGGGATTTTTTTTAATTCCACCATTCTCAGAGTAGTGATTGAAATATAATTCCAAACCATGGTTTGTCTTTACATGAATAAACCAAACCATGACTTGGCACTATGTGAATTTGACTGGCTGGAATCTTCAGCTTTCCCCTCTTTTTTATTTGTAGGAACAGCAGTTCCCTGGCCTGAAGAAAACCACAGTTTGCCAATTCATCTGTACTGGCTAGCTGAGCTTCATACCTTTTTTTGAAAACAAGGATTAGAAATCAGGATTTGTGTCAGATTCATAGTTATGATTCTGTCATGATTGTGATTATTGGGGGGAATGTATGCATTGATTCTGTGTGTTGATTGTATGGACTGGTATGGCAATGGAAGGGGGGGCTAGACAAGTGGCAGACTGGCCAAATAGTATGTAGAGAGAAAGGATTTATGGCTTGATGATCCTGGAGAGGATGCTTGTTCTTTCTGTAGAATCTCAGATATGTGGAGGATGTTTATTTTATTTTCCTTTATTGTGATAGCATGGCAGAACTAGGAATGTGAGGTAGAGGGACAAATGGGTAATAAAAGAACTGTTGGAATTTGCTTTATTTAGGAACTAAGGGGGGGTTGCAGGCTGCCAAAAATAGTGCAAATTGAGTCCACTTTTAGGGTTTGGGTTAGAGTTAGGGAATCATGGGGACTGTATTTTATTGTGGCAACAGAGCTCTCTGACAGAGAAGGCTCAATGTCCCAGAAAAAAAAACAATTCCCATGATTCCCTAGCACTAACCCTAAAAGTGGACTCAATTTGCACTATTTCTGGCAGTCTGCAACCCCCCTAAGTTTGCATGCCAACAGCCTGGGGGTGGGGCTGGATAGTTGGAGTTTAATATCACTGTAGGGGGAAGGAACTGATTAGTTCCAACACAGATGATTTACTGGTGGCTTCTGTCCTGATGTCTTAAATAGAAGTCTTTTGTTTTCTATCACAATAAGATGTTTTTCTGTGCATTGGGAATTGGGTTCACTGGTTCTGACAATTGGATTAGACTGTAAGAAATTGCAAACTATAGAAAGAAGGAAGGAAACCACTACACATAAGGGAAGAAGAAAAGGAAATGAAAGTTGTGCATGAATGAAGGAAGGAGGGTGCAATTTGAGCATGGACTTTGAAACCATAGTCTCATAGTCTGCTCACATAAAGATGAGCAACAGTGGCCATTTTCAAATATCACTTTCTTACATATACATTTTAAGACCACAAACTGGCAATGTGAAGAAATGGAGAAGATTATCTGCAGATTAATATCCATCCCTAGGAGATAATTCCCAAGCTTCAGAAGAGCTTTATGGCAGATCTTCAAATTATTTATTCTATAGGTGGTAAAAAATACTATTCAGAGGTTTTAGAGTTTGTCTCTCACTTTCTTGAACTGAACTATTAAGTGAGTTGGGATTTTATATTTATGTTAAAACCAGCTTCTTCAAAACTTCAAGGCAAATGGATTGAGTGAGCACATCTTTTTCATTTTAATGGAAACATCCAAATATATTATTTTGAAATCTAAGTATAATGAAGGGAATAAAATTTTGTTTATGTTCCAGTCTACATTTTATACATGTCATTCTCAAACCAAAAATCAGTGTATCACATCATACACTTTGTAGTAATTCATTGTACAAATGAGGCAATTTTCTGGAATTTGTTTTGCTTTGGTTTAAATGGCAGTATCAAATATTTTGAAAAATAGTTTTTAACAGAAAAGTGACAAGAAGGTCTATGGAAAAGTGGACAAATTCACCATAGATTTCTATAATACCAAAAATAATCAGGTATTTTGGAACCAATGGTCCTACTTTTTGAATAAGGTAACAATAATTAGCATGATCCTTACTTTCATGTGACAATGCTTCACTAGTATAAAAGATACCTTGGACAGTAATAGAGCTGTCACCTTATTCACAATTTTTGAAATATTCTGTGGAGACCTGGGTTAATCTTGGTCAGTTTGATATAATTAGTTTTCATTTTGTACTGTCAGTAGTGCTTGAAAAGTAGCCAGTCCTAAAGTGCAAAGATTTAAAAACCTTCATGCATTGTTGTCTGTCACACACTCTGTGTGTGTGTGTGTGTGTGTGTTTATTGTGTGCCTTCAAGTCATTTCCGCCTTATGGCAAACCTATCATGGGATTTTCTTAGCAAGATTTGTTCGGAGGAGCTTTGCCATTGCTTCCCCTGGGGCTGAGAGCACATGGCATGCCCAAGGTCAACCAGTGGCTTTTAGAGTCAAGCTGGGAATTGAACCCTGGTCTCCAGAGTCATAGTCCAACACTCAAACCACTACACCATGTCGGCTCTACCTATTGCACACTACTAAGAGGGTTTTTTACCCCCATTGGCCAAAGGCCACAGTGCTTTGGGTACTGAAGTCTCTATTTCTATTCTCTCCTTTGCATGTGGATTCTCCCTAACCTATTGTTTGCTCTCCCTTGCATAAGGATAATGCTATTTTAGCTACTTAAGAATCTATTATTGGAGAAAGTGATAACTGTGAAGTTGTAGGTTTTCATGGCTGGCATCCATAGTTTTTTGTAGGTTTTTTGGGCTGTTTGGCCATGTTCTAGAAGAGTTTCTTTCTGATGTTTCGCCAGCATCTGTGATGCTAGCCACAGATGCTGGCGAAACGTCAGAAAGAAACTCTTCTAGAACAAGGCCACACAGCCCGAAAAACCCACAAAAAACTAAAGTGATAACTATTCACATACTGGTTCCTATTGGGAGGAACAATACAGATGTTGATCATAATGTGTTTCCATGTTATATTCACTTCTGGAAATCAGGGGCATAGCAATATTAATCTGGTATAAAGGAAAGGGATCTTGTAGCACCTTTGAGACTAATTTGGCACTAGAAGTTGTATATTAAGCTTTCATAGGAGATTATCACATGGAGGAGGCAAGTGTCTTCCTCCTGTGATTAAATTGCTATTAAATCCTGTTAACAGCATGATCTAGGGGAAGTTTATCACATCCTCGCGTGCTTCTCCCGTTCTTCTCCCATCTGTAAACAGTAATGGAGGTGTCATTTGGTATTAACAGAAGTTTCTGTTAGACATGGTGTATTTACATGCACCTGAGGAATTATGCCAAGTTAACAAAAGCTTATGTTACAACTTCTTTCACACAGTTAGTCTCAAAAGTGCTACAAGATCTCTTTGCATACTCACTATTAAAAAGGCATTGAAAACAGCTTCCTTGCAGAAAGTATTCCCATCCAAGCTATAACATTTGAAAATATCTGACATGCAGGTAACACTGAGTGTTCCCATGCCTCACCAGTGCCTGCCAAGACATCACAGAACCCTATCTATAGGTGGGGAAACTGGGGCCCTCCAGCTGTTAAGACAATTCAGCCTTAGCCAGCCTGGCCAATAGCCAATGATTATGACAGCTATAGTCCAAAACATCTGGAGGATATGAAGTTACATGCCCTTTGATATAGACGTTCAATATGATAATGCTGAACTGCACATAGTTATAGACACTACAGATAGGATCACTTATCATGGAATGGCTCTTTCTGGTGGCACCCTAATGGCAGTATAACACAAAGACTAATTCATAGTGTTTAGATATACTTGGGATTTCACAGAGACAATGGCAAAAAAGTGTTTTAGAATATAAGCCATCTCTATTTGATAGTGATGATTCTCATTCACATTTTAAAAATTTAGAAAATCAGATGCTCTTGTTTTCTCAGCTAATATATTAAATAGCATCTACTCACATGCCCACTGTGAAATATGCCACCATTGCAGTTGACCTGGCTGCTTTAAATAAGAACACAATTATGGTAATGAACCAATTATTTTATTCAATGTACCAATCAAAAAGGCGATATCATGCTCTTCTTTCCTCATGATAATAAAGAATATTTCTAATTATTGTTAACTGCTATGCAATCACCATTACAATGTTACTGTTTGTAATATTCATTTAATAGAAAAAGGTAAAGATGTAAAACGCCTGCATTACCTTAGAAGAAATCAGTCATTAAAAATGCATTTGATAATAAACGTATTTTAAAACAAAACCTTTTTTTTAAAAAAAAATCTCATGGTTAAAGAAACTCTCCAGACAGGAAAGACATGCCCCAAAAATACCCTCTTGCGCTATCTGCCAAGTTTCCACAAGATAGTAAGATCTGTAACCCAAAAGCCATGCTAAGCGTATGTAAAAGGAAAATTACACAGCATGAAGTTCTCATGAGAAAAGCAATCCATTTTCGTTCTGTGCCTGGGTGTCTCTCCTACCGGTAGTATGAAATGAAAGAGAAGCCTTGTGTGCTCAGGGAAATAAGGTATATATCATCTGACTGTCATAGAATGATAGTTTACAGATAATGTGTCAAAACCCAAGAAGCACAAAGGCAAACTATTACCACCATTACCCCTAGTACAGATTATTTCAAGAGCAAAAACTACCATTTTACTTTAATATTTTCTGGTCCTCCCACCATCTGCATGTCCAGGAAAACATTCATTAGGAAAGTCATGTTATCTTTTCACAGGTATCTAAAAAAAAAAAAGAAACTGTCATGGCTTACTTATTAGGTTTAAACTCTCAAGAGGAAAACAGGCCATTTTCAACCAAAATGCTAAGCAGAATTATTTAGATTTTAGCTTGTCATTCATGAATATGTGTTTTGGCACACACTGCCCACTCACTCCTGACTGGCTCCTTCTCCACAAGCAGCTAAACTAATCAGGAATTTGATAGTGCCAGAAAGCTTCCATAACATCCTACTCAAGGCTCTGGGTTGTTGCATCTCTAACAAACTGGGATTTGGCACTCTTCAGACTCAAATTCTCTCTTCAGACTCAAGAAGACAAGAAGTGACAAGCCAGGAATCCTAACTTGGATATAGTAATATGCCTTTCCAACCGAGAAAGTTTCTAGTTAGTGTAAGCTATTTCACTCCTAGTCATTCCAGAGCCAAAGAGGAAAAAATAGGGCAGTGAGCACCAATACCCATGTTTATGAACAATAAGCTTGGATTCTGAAGAAATTTGGTTTACTGTTTTGTGTGAAAGCAGCATTTTCTTTTGCTAATGAATACTGCAAAGGACATAGAACTTGTATAGATTGGTATTCTATTACATATAATCATGTAACATTTATCCCTTCTGAAACATCAGAAACGTCAGAAAGATACTCTTCTAGAACATGGCCACACAGCCCAAAAAACCCACAAAAAACTATTTATCCCTTTACACTGACATTTCCACTGTACCTCATGTCACCTACATATAAGCAAACTTTAAGATGAGATGCCAATTCCTTATCTACAACCAATTTCCTTTGTTGTTATAAATGCCTGAGCAGGCTGGCTAACCCTTCTTTAACTATCCAACAGTTAAGATTATGCAGCATAACCAAATCTGCAAGATACCATATTTTGACAGTTTATATGCCAATCCTGTCCTGGAAATCTACTTTGAACATTGCTTTGCTTTTCGTTCACTTATGCCATCTAGCATATTAGCATAAAAGTTCTAAATTTCAGTTGACATCTCAACTTCATGCCCTCAAATGATCCTTTTTTTCAGTTGACATCTCAACTTCATGCTCTCAAATGATCATTTTTTCATATATGCATAAACTTCTGCCTCACTTTAGTTTGGCCATAAATTTATTTACAAGATCAGCTCTTGCTTTTCTCTAACTAATGAATAGCTTGTTCAGAATGTTTCTTTTAGACCATTGCTTCTGAATCTATTTGATATGGATGACTGGCAATTTTTATTTGTTTTTCACATTCCATGTACCAGGGACAGATGTCATATTTGTGCCCAGTGGCAGCAACTGTTTCTTGCTTTCCTGGAAATTCACCACAGAGTATCATTTTGAGCAGGGGTAGGCAACCTTTCTCCTTTAAGGGCCGAGGGACTTCAGCTCCCAGAATCCCAGGAGCTATTGGCCAACATGGGACTATTGGCCAACATGGCTGAGGCTTCTGGGAGCTGAAGTCCTTTGGCCCTTAAAGGGGAAAGGTTGCCTACCCCTGATTTTGAGTAAGGGCCAAAACAGATGGCCCTTTAAAGCTGCCATCCGTGTGGCTTCGGAGCATGGTGTTTTGATGCCACACATCACAAAGCCGCCCTGAAGCTGCTTGGAAGTCAAGCGGCTGCCCAGATATGGGCAGCTTCATGATGCTCCAGCGGCATGATGTTTACATGCTGTATGCCACCGGAGCATCATAAAGCCACCATGGGGCCATGGAGGGGCCAGCAAAGCCAGCTTTTCCCCAACTAAAACAAGAATGGATCTTATCAGCTCCTTTTTTGGCTGGGTTCAAGGCAGATTGGGGCTGCAGCGTGTGTTTGCCATGGTCCCAATCCATTTTTGGAAGGGGTGACTTCAAGCTGCCCCTTCTGTCCTATCTGTTTTCTCCCCAACACTGTTTTAGATTTTTAAAAAATATTTGCCTTTTAATTAATTTTTAAAAATCCTCTTCATATTTCTACCTGAATGTTAACTATGGGCTGAAACAGACCTGCCCAAAAGGGATGGCATGACGCTGACCCTCAAAAGAGCTGGGCGGGTGCTACAGCAACCGCACACCACAGCCCCACTCCAGCATTTTGCTGATTCAAAAGGGCAGCAGCAAATTACCACTCCTTTTTGCAGCGGCTTTTCCTGCCGGGGCTTTGTAATGCTGAAGTGGCATGTGACGTTTAAATGCTGCGCTGCCACAGTGCTGTGAAGCTGTGTAGCTTCCCAGCAGCATAGGGGCATGCACTGTCTGAATGCCATCCCCCACACCACTGTGAAGCTGATGTATTGTGCCAGTCTGTACTGGCCCAGAGATTAACAAAAAGTAAACAATATTGTGAGTCAATACAGTACTCATGAAAGTCTGGAATAGGGTGGTACATTAGAGGGACTTATGTTACCATTCTCAAACCTGTTAAAAGCAATGTCTCTGGACCAGAATCTTGCAAAGGCTAGTTCTAGAAACACCATTCCCACTAATCTGATGTTCACACTTTGACAAGATGCTGAATAGCAAACATAGGATTTCCAACATAGGATTTGCCTCTAATATACAAAGAGAAACAGGATGTGTGCAAAGGAGACACAATAGGTGGGTAAAGGTGTTTAGCTTTCTAAGACCTGTCTCCTCTCCTCTACATTTTCTATCCAACACAAGGCTGACGTATCCCTGGGATGGCTCCAACACCAGGCCCTTTCGTATTACATGAATATAGTACTGCGGCTCCACTTTATTTTCTATGGTTGTATTGTATGGAAACCTGAGGTTTGTAGTTTGGGAAGGCACTAAAGCTGAATGAGAA